AAGTGACTACATTAGTGCATCAAGCCCTAAATATGGTAGGCCCCCAAAATCTGAAAGCTCCTCCTTCGGTACCGACCCTCTTGGGTGTTAAAATCAGTAGAGGGGGGTGGTTCTTGGGAATTCCACCACCTTAGAAGTTTGGTGGGGTCTTCTCTGTGGCAACCCCCTAAACTGTGGAATTCCCTCTTCACAGTGGCGGGTTGGCCACCTTCATTTTGTACATCTCTTACATAGCCTGGTCATGAACCTCTTGACCCTGGCCTTTGACAGCTGATTTATAGATAGAGATATTGACGAGCCACCCTATCCTTCTGCTTGTATATTGGTTTAACTGATTGCTATATTGTTGCAAACTGCCCTGGGACCTTATAATGAATGGCAGGTCAGAAATCCTATAAATGAATATTCGGAGCAGGAAGGCAGCGAAGTTTTATCAGTCCAGATTCTGGACTGGAAAATGAATTAAGCAAACCCCTAAGATCTGGGACAGGGTAGAGCTTGGGGAAACATGGTTTTGTGTGTGTGTGTTTTTGCCACCAGATCCCCAGGGCAGGTTGTCAAAGTCAGAATGGTGGTGAAATTCCAGAATGAGTGGCCCAAGATCATCCAATGAGCTTCATGGTTGAATAGAGATTGGTTTCCCTGGGTACCAAACCTTTTCCTGCATGGGGGCTACATCCCCTTCTGGTCAGCCTTCCAAGGGCCACATGCCAGGAAGTGGGAGAGGCCAGAGGCAAAGATGGGTGGAGCAACAAGTATACATTTTATCCTGCTACAGAAGGGGAGTTTCCACATATACACAAACGCCCATCTTGTGTCTGCCTTCCATACAAGCAAGAGACATTATTAGCTTTCTAGGACACATGCCAGGGACGCGGGTGGCGCTGTGGGTTAAACCATAGAGCCTAGGACTTGCCGATCAGAAGGTCAGCGGTTCGAATCCCCACGACAGGGTGAACTCCCGTTGCTCAGTCCCTGCTCCTGCCAACCTAGCAGTTTGAAAGCACATCAAAGTGCAAGTAGATAAATAGGTGCCGCTCCGGCGGGAAGGTAAACGGCGTTTCCGTGTGCTGCTCTAGTTCGCCAGAAGCGGCTTAGTCATGCTGGCCACATGACCCAGAAGCCGTACGCTGGCTCCCTCAGCCAATAAAGCAAGATGAGCGCCGCAACCCCAGAGTCGGCCACAACTGGACCTAATGGTCAGGGGTCCCTTTACCTTTACCTTTAGGACACATGCCACCCAGGCAAAAAAAAAAGAAGAAGGTTGGATTGTGAAACAGGGCCAGTGAGGGGGGTTCTGGAGAGAGTTCAGAGGGGCAGAAAGAGAGGTATGGAGGGCCACATTTGGCCCCTGGGCATGAAGTTCACCACCCCTGTCCTAGTCCACCATTCCAGCTGCTACACCTCACTGACCTCTCTTCAAATTTCCTGCCCCCAGTGCTTAGAGAGCACTTTGCATCATAGCAAAGCAGAGCTATGTAGCATTGATGGTTGGTCGCATGAAGGCTGCTCCCAGCGACTGCCAATCCTGGGCAGTCTGTCCCAGGTCCTTGTTAGCATCCTGCAGGCTCTCAGGGACTTCCTTCTGCTCAAAGGTTGTTCTTGGATCAGGGCCGCTGTCTGTTGAATTGCTTTCAAATTGCACTCGCTGAGTCCTTGGAAAGGGGCATAGGAGGAAGAGGGCCCATGCAGGCACGAGGCATATAAATTATCTAGATTTATGGCCTATTCCCATAAATGACTTCAGTGAAGCAGAAAGATGGAGAAGGGGAAGGGGGAAGCTCCAGGAAAGTCTTCAGATGTGGAAATGTAGGGAAAGCCTTTTCTTGGGGAAACTCCAGGGGTTTGCATCCAGTGCTGGTCTTACACAGAGTAGACCCATTTAAGTTAATAGACATGTCTAACTTGGGTACATTAAGTGGGTCTGCTCTAAATAGGACTTCCACTGGAGACAACACCAAGACTCTAAAACCAAGGTGAGAGATTTATCTTTATTTTTATTTGTCACTGTTGGGGTTAGAAAGATGAGTTTTAGGACTTTACAGCTCTATGGTTCACTTCCCTCACTAGAGCTCTCTGTAGATGGGACAAAATGAAACATAATAATTTTATACTAAGTCAGACCACTGGTTCATCTGGCTCTGTATTTTCTCTACAGTGACTGGCACTTTAAGATGTTGGAGTTGGTGGGCTTTTGATCTGATCCAACAGCAGTTACCATTGTGGTTTCTTTTACAGTAGGGTCCTTCCATGCGGCAGAGACACAGCCATCTCAGGTGGTGGATTTGGGGTCTGTTGAGGCTGCACCTAACCTATGGATTTTGATCCAATGTGAATTTAGGAACAGAGGGTTATTCCGAGACAGACCATTGGAGCCTTCCAGCTCTGTACTGTTTTCAGGCAAGGGTCATTCACAAGTATGCGTAATAGTTTCCTGTTGTCTACCTAGTTGCAGGAGTTGGGGAACTTCAGGCCGAGGGACAAATGTGGCTTTCAAAGGCAGGTCCATCCTCTGGCCTGACTGGCTGGTGACTGAGGAATTGGACACAAATCCATTGTGTGTTGACACTCTAGTAGGGATGTCAGAAGGCATCTTTTTTTGTTCTGCACTCTGTTCATCACATGCAGCACTGCTTCCATTCTGCTGCAGTTCACCTTCTGCTAAAAAAGACCCCTTTCATCTCACTATCTGTTATGGTGAAATTACGTAATGTACATTATGGGTTTTGCATAGCTTGTTACGTAAATCACATTGTTGTCATGCTATTCCACCGCATTCATTTCGTTGCAAATGAAACAGTACAAATGTGGGGGCATGGATGTAATAAGTACATACCATTTGCAGACTGAAAATAACAACAGTGGATATCAACCATATTTGCTAACATTGGCAATTTCTCCTCCCGTTTCTGTTTTCGTCAGAAGCCTCCGGCACTCCCTACATGGCATGTTTCTGAGTTTCCCTGCTTTTGCTTCTTCTCTGTCTTGCTTTAAAGATAAAAATTAAACACAAACACACACAAAATAGGGTTGGTTCATGTATTCTCCCCGCTCCAAATATAAAAAATAAAAACCCAGGCCTACTTCCCTCGCCCTCAAATGAGTCAGTCGGCCTCCTCTCTCACACATGGCTTGGAAACACATGAGTTCCATTGATACCGCCCGCCATTTTCCTTTATAGCGGTACTAAGGAATTGACTTTAAAAGAAATTTAAAATTAAAATAAAAGCAGGACCTCACAGATGCCGAGGAGTGTTTGGCCTCACGCTACAATTTTGCTGGTGCCCCAGTTCCTCTTGCTGAGAAGATAGGCATGGCTTTTCATGCCGTTTGACAGTTATCTCCTCAGCTGCGCTACTGGGTTTATACACCTCCTTTCAACAGCTCTCGATAGGACTGACAGCCGGGGTGGGTGTGGGTTTGGGGGGGGCGGGTTGTTTCTGTTTTGTCTCAGGGAAGGAAGGGGGAGGAAAGGTGGTCTTTTGGCAGTAGCCAAGGCCACACTCGAGCACTGAGGGGGTTACAATGTCTCCTCTGTCTCCCAGAGAAAATAGCTTTTGACAGGAATCAGGTTTCAGTCAAGCCACCAGGGCTTCTCCCATTATGGGAGGCCTGGTCTTCAGGCTGTTCTGCAGATAACCTACCTGTTATCATTGAGGAGATGGGAGAATTGGGCAGTGGTGGTGGTGGTGGTGGTGGCTGTTGCCCTCTCCATGTGGAAACCGTCAAATAAATTAGCCCCTTGCACGTGGCGTTGCAAGTTCTGTAAGGAGAGTAAGGATGGGTGAATCTGTTAGTTTCTACTTCTCTCCATTTCTCTGTCTTATTGTTTCAGCCTTATGTTTAGTCTGCAGCCCCTATTTTCATTGCTGTTTGCATTTCTTTCTTTGTTTTTTAAAAAATAAATAGCATTTTTGTTTGCGCTTCCCGTATAATATTGGCTTGGGACCAATGAAATTTTGCTCAGAGTAGACCAAAATGGGCAAAAATGTATTAGTTCAGTTAGTACTGGGGTCAGCAAACTTTTTCAGGGGGGGGGGGGGCGGTCCACTGTCCCTCAGACCTTGTGAGGGGCCAGACTATATTTTTTTGGGGGGGGGATGAACGAATTCCTATGCCCCGCAAATAACCCAGAGATGCTGATTCCCAGACTGTCCATGGGCCAGATTTAGAAGGTGATTAGGCTGGATCCAGCCCCCGGGCCTTAGTTTGCCTACCCATGAGTTAGTTGAACACTGATTTCAACACTGTTATAATTATTAGTTGCTCAACATATAATGAATCTCCAGGTGACTGACGAAATTTTTAAAAAGCATAAAGTATGGCATTAGATAAGTTAGAAAACATAAAATGTGTTAAAGGTATCTGGTTGGCCACTGTGAAAACATGACATTGGAGTAGGCAGGCTCTTCTTACATGGATTGCATCCAATGTTAGTACTACGCAGAGTAGACCCATTGGAACTAATGAACATAACTAACTTAATTTTAATAGGTCTGCCCTGACTGAAACTTAGTTCAATGTGACAGCAGCAAAAACACCAATAGCCCCCAAAAGTCTGGGAGAAGACGTAAATTCTGTACATGGTTTTTGTGTGTACTTTCCCCAGTCCACACATTTTGGGGCTGGAGATCTATCACAAGACTGGATCTATCACAGTACAGGCAGCTTTGCATTAAAATGTGAACTGGGCAAATTTCTGCCCCCACCACCCCTGCAATCCCTGAACTGGGTGGTATGTACAAATGTGTCTTGCATGGATGGGCCAACCTTTCTGTTTCCTTTCTAATGAGCTATGTTTCAAGCCAAGCATGAAATTCAGTTCAGGCTATTGATTAACTGGACAGAGCTGTAGGCCGGTGCATGTGCTGAGATGCTGTAGGAACACTGGGAATTGCCTTACATTGAGTCAAACCCTTGGTATGTCTCGCTCAGTATTGCCTCCACTGGCTGGCAGTCATTCTCCAAGGTTTCAGATGGCAATCTCTCCCAGCCCCACCTGGAGAAGCCAGAGATTGAACATGGGACCTTCTGCATGCAAAACAGAGGCTCTGCCACTAAGCCATGATACTTCCCGATAGTATATACAGTGGTACCTCAGGTTAAGTACTTAATTCGTTCTAGAGGTCCTTTCTTAACCTGAAACTGTTCTTAACCGGAAGCACCACTTTAGCTAATGGGGCCTCCTGCTGCCGCCACACCGCTGGAGCGCGATTTCTGTTCTCCTCCTGAAGCAAAGTTCTTAACCTGAAGCACCATTTCTGGGTTAGCGGAGTCTGTAACCTGAAGCGTATGTAACCTGAAGCATATGTAACCCAAGGTACCACTGTACAGAGCATGGAGGAGAGCAGAGTGTGGTCTTCTGTGTGGAATTCAACTGCTCCAGAGCTTTATGTTTGATTTTTTTTAAAAAAGAACACAGTCAGTTGGACACCAGTAACAGGAGAAATGCAGGAGCCCAGGATGATGAGGGGGCCATTATTATTATCTTTAAAAAATATCTAAGGGCATAAGGAGATCCTGGCCACAGGGGCAGGCCAAAGGTCCATCTAGTCCAGCATTCTCTTCTCCCGTTGGCCAACTGGATGCCTCTGAGAAGCCCACAAGCAGGATCTGAGTACAACAGCAACTCTCCACCTGCAATCCCCAGGAAGGAACACTGTGTCTCAGCTGTCTTAACCAGCGAGACAAACCACCAAACTGTTGGGGAAAACAATGGAAAATCCTGAACAATAATGCAGTGAGGAGTCTCCTTGAGGGGAGAGTTCCATCCCCAGGGCCCAACAAATGCGAAAGCCCTCTCTGCCTGAGCTAAAGTGGCCTTAATATTGCATTGAGCATGTTTCATCAGGGCTTTTTTCAGCCCGAACTCTCCAGAACTCAGTTCCGGCACCTCCCAGGTGGGTGCCATTGCCATTGCAAGAGAACAAGGGAGATGTTCATGGTGAGTTCTGGCTCCTCTTTTGCTAGAAAAATAGCACTTTGTATCATCAGCTAACTTTCTTTACCTGCCCATTTCCTACTTATGGAGAATTAGCTTCCTGTCCACCTCTCTGCCTTTGCTCCTGCTGTACAAATAATGATGCTTAGACTTTTCCATTGAGGCTGTGCGCAGATAGGGATAGGCAGTGTACTTAGAGATAGGCCTATTATAGTAATAGTCTGTTTAGCCTGACTTTAAGTTATTTGACCTCCAAGCTGATCATGTTACTGATAGCTGGCATATCAGATCTCTGGAATCCTGGCTTATAACCTGAGCACTGATGCTGTCAGGTGGGGAAGAAGCCAGGAAGGATGGGTTCTTGGTAGAGCAAGAGAAGGTGGAAAGTAAGGCATAAAGTTACAGAGAAGAGCTTTATCCAAAGCAAATCCACGGGGTTAACCCCACCCTGGGGAAAACAGAAATGTGCATACACACGTCTGTATGGTGCAAAATGGCCTCTCAACATCCACAGGTTGCTTAGAACTGCCCTATCATTCAAATGGAAATGGCTAGCACCTCACCAGTGTGGAGGAGAAGGTGCTAAGATGACCTTTGTGCCACTGGTGCTAAATGGACACCCTCAAGGCCTCTGCAGGTCCGGCCACCAGCTCAGATGAATTTAAAGAATCATGGAATTGTAGAGTTGGATGGGAGCCCAAGGTTCATCTAGTCCAACCCCCTGCAATGCAGGAATCTCAACTAAAGCATCCATGACAGATGGCCATCAAAAGAGGATTAGATAAATTCATGGAGGACAAAGGTGTTCTGCCTCCCCCATCAAAGGCATTACACCTCTGACCAGCAGTTTCTGGGTATTGCATGTGGGTGGAGTGCTGCTGCACTCATGTCAAGCTTTCAGGGTTCCCACGTACATCCGGTCAACCACTGGGAGAACAGTGTGCTGAACTAGATGGGTCTGCAGCCTGATACAGCTGCTGTGCTTTCCTTGCGTTCAACATGAAGATCTTCTCTGCTGGTTTCCTTCAAAGGTGAAGCAAAGGGCGGAAGCCAGAGTTAGCTGGTAGAACCTGAGACTCTTAATCGAGCCCCATGTTGGGCAAAAGATTCCTGAATAGCAGGGGATCGGACTAGATGATCCTTGTGGTCCCTTCCAGCTCTACAATTCTTTGATTCTATGACTCCAAATGTCTACCTTTCCCTCTCACCCACTACTTGCCTGCTGTGAGCCTTTATGCGCACACACACACACATACATACACACACAGCTTTCCCCTGGTAGTCGGATCAGCGATGAAAACAAAGACGGGAACATGCAGGCGAAGCTGCCTCGAAAGTTCAAAGGCCCACCAAATGCGAAATGCGTGCCCACCGTGCCTCTGTTGCAAATGAGGTACCTCCCAGAACAATCCAGTGATGACTGTGCCCTGTCAGCTCTTTGCTTCCTGCCCTCCCGCCCACCCGCTCAATTCAGAAGGCAGAAGGAAGGAGAAAAGCTTTCATGTCATGCAGCAAAGCTGGAGCGAGACGCCTAATCGTTCCAAAGCGATCAAGAAGCAATCGGCAAGCCCACGCAGTTGCCGTTCCAACTCATCTCGGAGCCATCTTTACAGTCTGTCTGCGGCCCGGACTCTCCAGTGTTGAACGGGATGGATAGGATTTATGTAGGCGCTTCATAGTCTTAATTACCGTTAGTTGTTGCTGGGATTGCATTATTGTGATTTGCAGCCCACACTGGCAGTAGGGAATACAGTGCAGACATTTTTTAATGTGACACAGTGGTGCTTTAGAGTGGATACAGTTAACGATGGGCGAATCTTTGAATCTTCCAAATTGAATCCTCCTCGTTTTTCCTATCTTAAGTTCCGTTCTCTGCATTTCCACATCATTCTGCAAATATATTTTCACACACACACACACACACACACACAGTTCACATGAAAATTGATCAGCATTTTAGTGTGGATCTAATAATATACACAAGTTCACATGCAATTTTGTCCAACGCATACTTTTTTTGCAAAACAGTTTTGCTTTATATAGTGCATTTTCACATATTAATTTTACGAATGTGTCCATTTTTATGCACACTTTACCCCAGTATATGCATCTTTGTAGACATTACTTGGCTGCAGAACTTCACTGCAAAATTCAGAGAAGTGCAACTTTCTAAAGATTGGTGTTTTTCAGTTCTTGTGTTGTTTTGGACTGTGTGATTCACATAGGTATGCCTTTGAATGCAAACTGACTGGGATTTCTCTCTCCCCCTGCACATCCCTAGCCACAGATCAGTGGTAGAGCATATGCTTAGCATGCAAACAATCTCAGGTTCAATCCATAGTATCTCAGGCTGAAAGGATCAGAAAACAGTGGGGAGAGGACTTGCTGGGGAGAGGATTTGCTCCGCTTGAGATTCCTAGAAGAATCTTTGGACAAAGTAGTCACAGAGTCTGTCTTGTTTAAGGCAACTTCCTATGTTACCGTAGCTTGGCAAATTTTACAACCTTGTAAGGTAGGCCAGAATCACTATCCCCATATTGCAGACATTGAAGCTGAAAGGGTAGCACTTTGCAGAAGGCCTTTGAGTAAGCGTGAGTGGTCAACCAAAAAGACACCAGTTCAAATCTTGCTTCAACCAATCTTAATTTGTTAATGTCCTTCCGCCTCCCCCTTTACAAAAAAAAAAGTTTTGGGATTGAACTATGAACATTATTGGCAATTAACTCAAGCAAATCCCTCACAGGATTTTGTGTTCGCCTGGCACCTTCATTATAAATTTTTAGGCGCCAGGCAAAAACATTCCTCTTTAGCCAGACCTTCAGCTGATTAATTTTCTATATTCTTTTAAATGTGTCTGTGGGACGGGGGCGGTTATTGTTTTACTGTGTTGTTTTAATTATTTACTTGTGTTTGTGTCTTGTATTTTATTCTGTAAACCGCCCTGACATCTTATGATGAAGGGCGATATATAAATTTTAATAATAATAATAATAATAATGTGTGCATGTGCAACATCAGCCCTTAAATCGAGGCTTAAAAGAAGATATTAAGAACACTCAGTTTTTCAGGAATTAGGAAAGCACTGTAGGTTATTGACAGAGCATCTGCTTTGCAAGAAAAATGTTCCAAATTCAACCACAAATGCATTGATTGTACACTCATGTCTTTTAACCAGTAAACACCCTTGCCTTCCTGTGTTGTCAGACCACTGGTCCACTTTCCTCAGTATTATCCATACTGGCTGCAGAGGATCTCAAGGGTTTTTTGGAGGCAGCATCTCCCGGCTTACCTAGAGATGCTGGAGTTTGGACCCTGGGACTTTTGGCATGCAAACCTCTAAGCCGCAGCCCTCACTCCTGGCCCTTTATCAGAAGCCTGGTGCTATACTGGTGAATCTTTCCAGTTTCAGGGGAAGGGGAATGCGGGGCAGAAGAATATGGAAGCACTGTTTCTTCCTTCCTTTATTTCTTTCTCTCCTTGGATGAAAGAGTCTGCCTGAAGCGGCTGTCTCTTTAAGAAGGAAAGCTTTGGCCGGCTCCAGCCGCCTCATTCTGATTCCTATCACCAAGTGATGATGTGCGGGTTCAGCAGAAAGAACAAGAGCCTGGATTCTCAGCCAAGAGGGGTTAAGGGTGCCTTTCAGACTTCGCTGACCACCCACTTCACCTTGTACTTGTCAAGCGCGGCAGGGTTTCTTAACCCTCGCCTTGGCGGAGCAAACTAGCTAGTTAGGAGTGCTTTGTTTAAGTCAGACTACTTCTTCTTAAAATAAAGAATCACACACACAAACAGCTCGTGCACACCCAGATAATGTGCAAGCAAATGATCGTCACTCTAGCAAGTGCTTTGCTTGAAAGGTTGCAATTTGTTGCACCAAAAGCCCCAGAAGAATGTGTGGATATTGATATTAAAGAGGTTGCGTTCCCCCTCCCCTTCCCCCCTCCTTTAAATGAATGCTGGCACTCCTCACATGGTCGTTGCTTAAAGTATGTGTCAGAATCTCAACCCACCAGACATTTCTTCACTCAAGTGGCCTGGCTGTGAAACCTGATAAAAAAAAGAGAGAGTTCTTGCAAAGTTTCAGCCAAGTTTTTTTAGAAATAATAATACGAAAAATAAAACAAAGCGCTGGTG